GCCGTTAACGAATCATTCTTTAGCAGCTAGCCGTTAACGAATCATTCTTTAGAGGCTAACCGTTAACGAATCATTCTTTAGCAGCTAGCCGTTAACGAATCATTCTTTAGAGGCTAACCGTTAACGAATCATTCTTTAGCAGCTAGCCGTTAACGAATCATTCTTTAGCGGCTAGCCGTTAACGAATCATTCTTTAGCGGCTAGCCGTTAACGAATCATTCTTTAGAGGCTAACCGTTAACGAATCATTCTTTAGCAGCTAGCCGTTAACGAATCATTCTTTAGAGGCTAACCGTTAACGAATCATTCTTTAGCAGCTAGCCGTTAACGAATCATTCTTTAGAGGCTAGCCGTTAACGAATCATTCTTTAGCAGCTAGCTGTTAACGAATCATTCTTTAGAGGCTAGCCATTAACGAATCATTCTTTAGGGTAGCCGTTAATGAATCATTCTTTAACGGCTGAATTTCGTAAACGGCTACGACATATATATGAAAAACGATTCTTTTCTTAGTTTTCTTAGTTTAATTCAATTTATCAATTTTGCTTATACAAAAATTCAAAATAAACCTTGAACTAAAGTCGAAAAAACAGCCCAAGTAGATTTGATTTTCGATGTTTTACCCCATTTGACACGAGCGGCTTTTTCGTTCTAAAACATCTTATTTCAAGTCGATTTCAAGCCTATTTCAAGTCTTTTAACAATTCATCCAATCTTTCAAAGCTTTTATGGCATAAGCAATTGAATTTTTGGTATCACTAACCTCAGCGGCCGTCATTAATGTTACATTGTATGTGCTACCAGGAGAAAGATGTTTCAAAAGGAATCTACTACTCCTTCCCTTCCACGAATCCTGTTTCCAATATAGCTTCTTTCTCAATTCCCTCACATTTTGGGGAGGGAAGGGTTTTCGCTCGGATCTGGAAAATTTTCAACATATTGTATTTATTTTGAATTGAAAAACCCCGTTTAGACAAAAGTTTTCATTTTTTTGTCATTTACATCAATTATTAAAGACTTCCCAAAGGCTTTAAATAGGAGAGTTATAAAAGCTTTCTTCGAGGGTAGGCTAATTTCTGCAACTTTTTTGGCAACTCGCCATGGCTTTCTTCCTAAGCGGACCAATCTTTATCATTTTGGTCCACTTATTGGGTTGGGGAGAATGAGTCGGCGCCGAAAATCAAAAAAATGTCTAAAACTTCTATTCGACTTCGTCAAATAATATGCGTTTGATATGAGTAGAATGGTTAACTAATTCTCTACAAAATGACATTTAAAAGAAAATTCAAACAGCGCCTCCGCTCAAGAAAAAACCATTTTTTCACAAAAACTACAAACTGTGATCTAGAAAAAACCATTGGTGGGATCTTCCTGCAAATTTGGCAACTTAAGTAATTGAATGTGCTCTATCTTTTTTTATATAAACACCAAAGAAGGTTTATGTGAAAGAAACTGTTCAAATGATGAGTCGGACTCTTTGCCATTTTAACCAGCTGCGTTTGGAAGTTCATAAACTCCACGAAAGAAAAGCTTTGTGGAATCTCTCAAAAGTGATTTTGTAGAGAAATAGTGGATCCTTTTGATGAAACCAAACGTATGTTTTAAAGAAGGCTTTATGTGTGCAAAAAGTCCCTTTAAAGTTGGGCGCCGACTCATTCTCCCCAACCCAATAGAACAAAGTTATGGTGAGTTGCGCAAAAAAAGTGTGCAGCAATTAGCCTACCCCACTTTTTGCTTTAAATAATAGTTTGAAAAAGCTAATGACGTCGAAAAAATTGATGAAAATCCAACAAAAACACTTATTTTTAAACTCTTGAAGGCACGGAAAAGGATTTTAGAGACATTGAAAGTTTAGAATGTTTATGATAGAAAAGCTTACGGAGAATTTCGCATTTGGAGCTCCCATCCAAGCCGATGGCCATGCGACGATGATTGAGTTCGGTGTTCGGATCTGAATTTGTATCATGTCGTTTATGAAAAGCATAATCAGTTTACCTTCTGCTTAATGATATATGAATCTCCGACGGCTAGTGTATTCGTGGCTATCCAAGCTGTACTACCGTAACCGAAAGTGGTTCCGCCTAGAATTTCGAAAGAAATCTAAAGTACACTTTAGATTTAAAGGAAATCTAAAGTACACTTTAGATTTAAAGAAATCTAAAGTACACTTTAGATTTAAAAGAAATCTAAAGTGTACTTTAGATTTAAAGAAATCTAAAGTGTACTTTTCCAGTCACCTAATCTAAAAAGTTAAGTCATTATCTCGTCAATCTATTGGGTTTGTGAATTGAAAACTGCGGGACTTTGAACTAAAATTTCTTCAACATCAAACCATAAATTCATTTCAAATAATTTCCATTATTATTGACGACTTCTGCTCATTTTACAGGCAATTTGCGGATTCCTCTTTCGTGGTAGGATTTTGGCTTGTGTGTGAGACAAGTGTGAGACTCAAAAATGGAGGACTGGAGATGTCCCAGTTTGAGCACTTTCTTCGAAAGAAACCCATTTTGGTGTCAATAGAAAAGTTGTTAGAGAATCAAAAATTAGGGTTTATAGCCAAATTTCCAAAAAGTATTTAGTATTAGGGTGAACCAAAAGTTTTCTATTTTTTTTTGCTCTTTAAGTGTGAACAATTTTTTAAAACTAGTAAATTCGTTTTATATATATGTGCCATATTTATTTTGTATTTGATCTGCTCATAAGCCAGGGAGAAATCGCGTTGCTCGACTCGTCTGAAACAAAAGTTCCATAATTTCATTCAATTTATTCAATTTATATATTAGACTTTGTTTTTTGACTTAATTTAGTGAAAGGAATGACTTAGGAAATTCAAAAGAGATTGGGGAAATGAAGAACACTGCTTTCTTTTTGAAGAAAGTCCTCAAACTGTCACATATACTTGTTGATTTGCTCAAAAATGATCTAGAATTGCTTTTTATTTGACATTATATTATCTATAAATGTCAAAAACTAGTTTAAAGTTCATCAAGTTTCAAATGCGTTAACTTTATAAATTTGGATATAAGCTTGATTTTTGATTCTCTACAACTTTTCCATTGACACCAAAATGGGTTTCTTTTGAACAAAGTGCTCAAACTCTCACATATGACAATAGCCCGCAGTTTTCAATTCACCAATCCAATAGATTGAGATTAGCCTTGATGTGAGGAGAAGTCAAGGTCCAATTTGAAGATTAGCAGCCTTCCAGATTAGTTTGGTAAAGGAAAGGGAAAGGGGTTATGTAAAAGCCCTGCGCCAGACGACGAGCGATTACGCGGCCGCATAAAGAACACACAGAACACACTAATTTTAAGCGAAACTACCAAGTGTATCTTTTTGGAAATTTGGATATAAGCCAGGGAGAAATCGCGTTGCTCGACTCGTCTGAAACAAAAGTTCCATAATTTCATTCAATTTATTCAATTTATATATTAAACTTTGTTTTTTGACTTAATTTAGTGAAAGGAATGACTTAGGAAATTCAAAAGAGCGCCATTATTGAAAACAAGGGTTCAATGCAGACTGAAGCGGCCAAAAAAATATGCCAAGTGGAAGGTGAAGGATTGATCTCCAACATATTGGAAACAAAAATTTAAAAACGGCGAACTTGGTCTCGAAGATCAGCCACGTTTGGGTCGGTCAACTACTGTGGACTCTGAAGCTCTACGCAACGCTGTTGAAGCCAATCCATTAGGCTCTCCGCTGAACTGGATATTCCTCAAACATCAGTTATCCGGCACCTTCATGCCCTTGGAAAGACCAACAAAAGCTGCCGAGAAGTTGCCGACATGATTTAACGGAAAATTAAGCTCAAAATCGTGTAGACACTTGCCGAAAACTGCTGGAAAATCCGCACGATGACCGCTTTATTCCCCGAATTGTGACTTGTGATGAAGAGTGGGTCTATTTTAGTAATCCGGAGAAGCAAATTGAGTGGTTGAATCCCGGGCAAGTAGCGGAACCGGTAGCAAAACTTGATCGATTCTCAAGGAAGGCATTACTGTGTGTTTGGTGGAATTTCGAAGGCATTATTCACTTTGAGCTAGTTCCAAATGGTCGGAACATCGACGCAAATCTCTACTGCGCCCAACTTGACCGGATGTATGCGCCGCTTAATGAAAAATATCCCGCTTTGGGCAATCGAAAGCGCATAGTCCTTCAGCAGGACAATGCAAAACCACACACCACTAGACAAACCAAGGAAAAGATCAAAAATCTCGACTCAATTGAACTTCTTCCACATCCAGCGTACAGTCCGGATCTTACACCATCCGATTATCATCTTTCAGCTCCATGGCGCACTTGCTTCGCGGACGAGCCTTCAACAATCTGGGCGAAGTCGAAAAAGGGTGCCGCGAGTTTTTCGCCTCTAAGAACAAGGAGTGGTACCGCCGCGGGATCGGCCAACTTGCCGATAGATGGCTTCAAGTCATAGATTCGAATGGTCTTTATTTTGAAGCTTAGAGTTCGTTCGTTGTTGTTTTATTTATGTTGAAAGTTTTGATTAAAAAAATAGAAAACTTTTGGTTCACCCTAATAGTTTCGCTTAAAATGCAAGTTTTGTGAAAACTCGTAAATTCGGCATTTCTTCAAAACCAGTTTTTGAATCGTTCTGCAAATTTGGATAAAAGCTTGATTTTTGATTCTTTACAACTTTTCCATTGACACCAAAATGGGTTTCTTTTGAAGAAAGGGCTCAAACTGTCAATAGCCCGCAGTTTTCAATTCACCAATCCAATAGATTTCAAGAAGATAGATGACTCGATTACTCGAGTCGATGATTAATCGATGACTCGATTATTAATCATAGAATCATGCCTGTATTGTTATGTTGTAGACATTTCCTGGATTAAGTCTCGTTCCAAGGAATGAAGTCTTCGGTATTGGGATATTTGTTGTAAATTTCTTTGTAAACGTTTGCGATTCGGGGTAGAATTCGTAGACGTTTATCTAAAAAGAAAAGAAATTGAAATTTATTGAAAAAAAGAGCTTTATTTCTTACAAAATATTGATTAATCGCAACGTGATGTTGGCCAGTTGAGATATCGGGTGGAGCCCACGAGATTTCAAGGGAATCATTTCCCTTTGCGATCACCATCAACTCCATTGGTGGTGGTAGCCAATTTAAAGCTGAAATATTAGCAATAAACTAGAAAATCGAATGTCAAATATCGAAAAATAGATGAAATTACCTGCTAGCGAAGTTTTAGCCACATTACTCCCATACCAAAGACTCGTCCCATCATGGCTAAATGGTTTTTGGTTGATCCAATGATTCAATTTGATTAAAACTTGATTTTAGATCTGATTCAGAGCTAATATCTAATCTAATATATAAAAAAAGTAAGAGTAAACCTAAACGCCTCGACACTGACTCGATATGAAGTGTTGCCTTGTAGATTGATGAATGTGTAATCACGGAGATGACCCTCCACATGAAAAGATTTTGGATGACGCTTTTGAAGCTCTTGTTCTGAAGAATCGTGTGTGAAAGATCGTATTTCTCTAATAGTAGTGAGTCGAGTTAATGACTCGGCCTCATGGGTATACCTCTCAGGGTACGCACAAGGTTATACCCATACCTTTGGGTTATGGGTATACCTCAGAGGTATACCCATAACCCCCCTAAAATTGCCATCGGCAATCAAAAACCCGACAAAAGCGCAACAAAACCGCGACAAACCCCACCCCTCAAGCCGAGATCCCGGTTTCTAAGTTCTCGTAGAAGCTCAACACTCTAATCCCCTGCTAGATCTCATCAGCTAGATCTCATCAGCTAGATCTCATCAGCTAGATCTTATCAGCTAGATCTCATTAGCTAAATCTCATCATCAGCTATCTTTTCCGACATCAGCTACCTTCTGATCAACTGTTTTTGAGATTTCCAAGAATTTAGATGAATCTCTACTACTAGAGAAAATAGAGGATTTATTTTCACAAACCTTTCATTATTGCTACGACGAGTCTCTGCTTTGTAGTGGCATTCAGAAACTCTTCAGGCACTCTCCAATGGATATCAATTCGATCATTCCTCACATCAATCACTTCAACCGGTTCCAGCGATTCAGACCAATCAAGAACTAGAAAAGAATTGAAGAAATTACCTGTTTGCTTGAACTTTTTAAACTTATCAATAGTTTAAAACATTGAAGTTAAAGGAACTTCAAGAATTTGACTCCAAAAACTTACATGGTATGAAAATCTGTGTCTGCACTCCTTGGCCATTCACTGGTTTCAAAAATAGAAATGAAATCAAAAAGCTTAGCATATAAATGTCGATAAATCAATGTCGATCAGTGGTGAGAAAAATTTGAGAAATGGTTAATGAGAGAAAAGGCGGAAGAAATGAGGAGTGATCTCATCAAACACACACTGACATTCCAAGGGCATTTCATATTTTTTCTAACTTCAAAAGACTGCATTTTTTCGGGGAAATCTTTGAAAAGATGTTCTTAAAATTATCAAAATTCTATTGAAAATCAAATTTTTTAAGAAATATTAGGTACTTGCTAAAGAAACTGCCAGCTAATAATTGTCCTAAGCTAATAATTGTCCTTCTAGAAATCGTTTCGGGGAGGGTTTTTCCAGATTTTTCCCCTCATCGAAATGTAAAAGTTTTCAAGTTGCGAGTATGAAAGTTTACTTGTTCTGCAATATCTTTTATGTTCTTACAAGTCCTCTCAGTTCACGAGTTTACGACCGCATATGTAAATTTCTTGACACCGTCAGAGCCACCATCACCATGACCGTCACCATGAGAAAGTCAATGCTTGTGATATTAGGTACTTGCAAAAGAAACTGCGGATTATAACCAACAAACAACCCAAAAACTTGAACAACCCAAAAATCAGTAAGAAAATAACTTTATTCCAAAAGATATTTGCCATTATTATCAACTATGTTCTTACATATTTTGCGTAGACTTTGGATGTCTGATTCGAAAAATTCGGGGTCCGGCGATGCAAAGTAGTCTTGCACCCAAATTTCGACTTTTTAGGATTGTTAAACTTTAGATTTTGCAAGAGAGTGTTGCATAGACAGGAACAAGTGGTAATCTGAGGGAGCAACATCAGGCGAATAGGGCGAAATGAGGCACAAGTTTCCAGCCTAATTCTTCTATGGTGTTTTGAGCCAAGTTTGATGTGTGTACCCGGAAATTGTGAGCGAGTAAATGGATTGTCCTTGGATTAACACCTCTTTCTCGTAGAATTTCATCAACTTTCTTCAGCTGTTCGGCGTAGATTTGTGAAGTTATAGTTTTTGAAGATTTTCGTAATTCAAAATAAACGATTCCTTTCATATTCCAAAAGACCGATAGCATAACTTTCTTTCCGTGAAGTTCTGGATGTGATGTTGGAATCGGCCTTTCTCCTTTGCTCAACTATTGTCTTTTGCTTGTTGTATTATTGAAATATGTTCACTTTTCGTCCATCATCAACATATTTTCAAAAAAGCACTGCCCGTAGCCTTTTTCAATAGAAACCGAGACCATAAAACTCGATTGGCTTTGTTTTCAGCGGATAATTCATGTGGGACCCATTGGCCACAATGATTCCTTTTTCCAATAAGCGCAAGGTGTCGAGAAATTGTGCTCGAATCACATTTAAAGTATTCGGCTAATTCGGGCAAAGTTTGAGTTGAATCCAACTCGACAATCTCCAGCAACTCCGCATTATCAAAGACAACTGGATAATATCCATCTTCCAAGCTGCCATCCCCTTCACGAAAACGTCGAAACCATTCCTGGCAAGTCCTTTCACTCAAAATGTTTTCTCCGAATGTTTCACAAAGATTCCGGCGCGACTTCGATGCTGATTTCTTCATTTTGAGGTCATAGAGAAGGCACGCTCGCAACATGAGTTTTTGATCCGCCACCTTCTACCGAAGATTATATAATATTTAATGATAGCAATAGTTGTGAAAATAATTAAAATGAATAAGCAATAGTAATACAATATAATACAATTTAAACCGGACCATCACACTTTCAAATAAAAAAAAACTTTCGTCCTCGGAAGTAATCCGCATTTTCCTTTGCAAGTCCCTAATAGTTTGCATTTTTGTTAAAAGTGAAAATGCTAATAGAGGATTTGAAAGTGACAATTTTTCATTGAAAGTCACAATTTTTCAAATCCTTTCATTTCAAATGTCATTTTCCTTGTTTTTTTTTTGTATTTTTCTTTCTTTCTTTCTATCATTAACGCTTTATTAGCTTCTTATAAACGAATTTGATTGATTCATTTTCCTTTTTTTCTTTCTTTAAGGGGCCCTCATGGTGTATTGGTTAAGTTCTCACTTCCAAACTGAGGGTGTGGGGTTCGGCCCCCCTAGGGTTCTCTTCCCTAGCCCGTGCGCCCAGACTAGAGGTCTCTTCTCTAGAGCTGACTAGAGATCCCTTCTCTAGCGGAGTTCACTCTTCCACTGGGTTGGCCCATTCATGGCCTGAGGTTATTAAAGCAAGAAGCCTATCTTCTATCTATCTTCTTTTCTCCCCGCCTCCACATCGCCGAGTAAAATATCTCATCTTTCTCTATGTATTTATGTGTAGATTTGTGTATTGTCTGACTGATTACGCTTTATTTCATGTCCTGAATAAAGTATCAATATAATATATTTAATACACACATCCTGTAGTGTGAAAGGTGGTGACATCTTGACCAAAATATGTATTGTGATCACTTTCGGTCAACGAGTCAGCAAGGGTATAGCCCATGCAAGCTAAAAAAAATAGTAGATCAAATCAATAAACCTTTCTTGACTATCGTAATCTTAGCTAAGATTTATCAAATCAACTTTTTATATCAATTTTATATCAACTTATTGCTTTAACTATTACAGGATTTTATGTCAAAATGTAGATAGATTAAAGCAAAGATTACAGTAGTTGACAAGTCAAGATTATAATAGTAAAATTGACTGATTTAGAAGCTAGAATCTAATTAGCAACACATCACAGTTCCTTATCTCTCTTAATTTGGTTCTTTATCTCTCTTAATTTAGTTCCTTATCTCGGTAAATTTAGTTCCTTATCTCTCTAAATTTGGCTCCTTTTGATTTAGAAGCTAGAATCTAATTAGCAACACATCACATTTTAGAAAACACTCGAGAGGAAAGCAAAGATCTTAACTTACCCGGTTGCTCGGGCCAATTGCATCGGGTGTACGTGTCGGCTGATGTACCCGTCATTTTAGCATTATAGCGAATCGAAAAATCATTTTTGTTATATTATAAAAGAGTTGGATTATTAACGAATACAATCTTTTTCCAAAAACCAACCACCCAATTGGTGTGTTGCACGTTGAGCGGGTTGGCGATAGTGCGGAGTGGAGTGATCGCGATCAGATCGACGTGGTTGACGATACGATAGATTTGAGGAGCCTGGAAAATGTTTGTTTGTTTTTTCAATTGTTTTTGTTTTTTGTTTCAATTCTAATTCTAATTCTAATTCCAATTCTAATTCTAATTCTAGTTCTAATTCTAATTCTAATTCTAGATCCAATTCTAATTCTAGTTCCAATTCTAATTCTAATTCTAATTCTAATTCTAATTCCAATTCTAATTCTAATTCTAGTTCCAATTCTAATTCTAATTCTAACTCTAATTCTAATTCTAATTCTAATTCTAGTTCCAATTCTAATTCTAATTCTAACTCTAATTCTAATTCTAACTCTAATTCTAATTCCAATTCTAATTCTAATTCTAGTTCCAATTCTAATTCTAGTTCCAATTCTAATTCTAATTCTAATTCTAATTCTAATTCTAATTCCAATTCCAAACTTCACTCACATATTGATAGACGGATTCCATGTATTTGCGGTTTCCCATGCGCGGTTGCCCGGTCGTGTACACTTCGATTTGATTCGTCGGACGCAATCCAAGTTTACCGACCTTGAATTTATAAGAGAATTTTGTGTAAATAAGCTTTTAATCTAAATATGAAGGATTAATAGTTTAAGATTAATAGTTTAAGATTAATAGTTTAAGATTAAATAGAAACCAGTGAGGCAAAGATGATTGCTTGTGGACCACCGAGTGAGTGACCGGCGGAAACGAACTGAAAATGAAAGGTATGGAAAAGAAAAGGTTTTAAAGATTGGGAAAAATGTTTTCATTGGATTATTGAGTTTGTATTTCTTTAAAAAAAACTACTACTAATTTTCTCACAATATTATTGAATTATTGAACCTTGTAGCTAGAGTAAGTCGGATTGGTCAACAACGATTGAAGTGCTGCGCCAAGGCCACCTTCCCACGTTTTATTGGCCGCATCTTGGAAGTAGCTGATAGCCTGAAAAATAGGAAACTGGTTTAAAGACAATTTTTCTGGACTAGACTAAACCAGAAGCCAAATCCTGATCTGATTCTTGATCTTGCTTGTTCTTTCCTAGTCTTTCCTGGTTTCGAAACTCACCAACATTCCATTATTTCCATTTGAAAGAATTGGATAGATTGGAGCGGCAAGTGTCAACACCATTTGAAAAATCTGAAATTTTAGAAATGAGAAAGACAAGTTGATGCTTGATTGCTTGATTTATGACAACTTACCTGTGTGATATTGTTCGATCCACGAGAGACCGAAACGATTTGTGAAAGCGATGGGATCACATAGACATCAGTAATGCATGTATCAATGGGAAACTAAAGATTTGAAAGTGATATTGATTTTCTTGCTCAAAATCTTGATGACCTCAATTAGAAGAAACATTTTTAAACAAAAGTTTGCTTCTAAAGTTGAAACAGAGCATATATGCTAGGCTCTAGAAAAAGTTCCCGCGATTTTCTGATTTTTACGGCGATACCGGCGAGCTTTCCGGTAAAACGTCCATAGTTTTCTCGCGGAACGGGATTTTCCTAGGGAAGTTCCGGTAGAAAGTTTTACCGGAAACTTTCTGAAAGAAAATCCGCGTCGGAGAGTTCCGCGGGAAAACTATGGACTTCCAGAAAGTTTCCGGTAAAACTTTCTACCGGAACTTCCCTAGGAAAATCCCGTTCCGCGAGAAAACTATGAACGTTTTACCGGAAAGCTCGCCGGTATCTCCATAAAAATCAGAAAATCGCGGGAACTTTTCCCCTGAGCCTAGCATACGGCCTCAGACTTCTTACCGGCACTCCACAAGTCACATTGACACGATCAACGAAAATAATATCAGAGGCAGCATTTTGCGTACACTGGGTGAACTAAAACTCTCAAATTTATGATAATTCGATTTTTCGAACTGTAGGCGAGGCGGTGTCTAGCTTCAATGCTCCTTGCAATCTCCAATAAACATTTTTTGCGTTGTTCTCATTGTAGGCGAAAGTCGATGGTGGGTCAACAGGGCAATTGAACGGATCACAGACCTGAAGGGATTGGCTTGACTGGCTAAAAGTTTTACAAATGTACAGCGGTTGAGTTGGGGAGAGTGAGGCCACAGACGGCGTCCCGCAGGCCCCAGAGAACGAGATTCACGCAAGTGTTCGTAGCCGTGTTGAAGCTGAAAGGTTGATTGAGCTGTACAGTTTAGCTCTCATTTTAGGCTTTAGCTTGTTAAAGTTAGCCCAGTAGCCACTAACTAGCCATGGCTGACTGGCTAAGAGCCCTGTATCTTAGTCAGGAGGTTAAAGGCTTAATTCCGAGTTCAATCCGGCCGGCTGAGTTGTTGCTTCTTTTTTCAATAAATTTTAAGCAAAACAAGTGTCAAATCATTACTACGATTACTTTGAAATGGATTAATTGAACTTATCCCAACAATTACCAAAGATTAATGCCTCTTACGGATACAGTAACACTTACTATTGAGTGGGATTGTTCACACAGGCCACACAAGCGGCAGTTGGTGATTGAGCGGATAAAGAATTTAAAGAAATAAGAGCTACGATGAGAGGAATGACTTTAGAACCCATGCTGAAAGGAAACTGGATTGAATATCAAGGAAAAAAGGTCCAAAAGAAAGTAAATCTAAATTTTGTGGGGAGTTTCTTTTGTATAGTTTCTTGGCTTGTATCTTTTGTTTTTTATCTTACGAGTATACTCAAGGTTACAACAAGACAAGCTAACTGGTTACAGTATTTTCTAACAGAGACTCAATAAGCTAACTGAATATCTGTTATATAAACTTTCTTTTGAACTGATATTTCTAAAGGCTATCAAGTCTACAGTGTTCTAATCTAAGTTAACTTACTGTAACCTAAGGTTACAACAAGACAAGCTAACTAGTCACAGTATTTTCTAACAGAGATTCAATAAGTTAACTGAGTATCTATTATAAAAACTTTCTTTTGAACCTTTTAAACTGATATTTCAAAAGAATTCTATCAAGACTACAGTAAATTCTAACTTTAAGTTAACATGGCTTGCTGTAACTTAAGTTAACTTGCTGTAACCTAAGGTTAGAACAAGACAAGCTAACTGGTTACAGTATTTTCTAACAGAGGTTCAATATGCTAAATGACTATCTGTTATAAAAACTTTCTTTTAAACCTTTTGAATTGATATTTCTAAAGGCTATCAAGTCTACAGTGTTCTAATCTAAGTTAACTTACTGTAACCTAAGGTTACAACAAGACAAGCTAACTAGTTACAGTATTCTCTAACAGAGATTCAATATGCTAAATGACTATCTGTTATAAAAACTTTCTTTTAAACCTTTATGAATTGATATTACTAAAGAATTCTATCAAGACTACAGTAAATTCTAACTTGAAGTTAACATGGCTTGCTGTAACTTAAGTTAACTTGCTGTAACCTAAGGTTAGAACAAGACAAGCTAACTGGCTACAGTATTCTCTAACAGAGATTCAATATGCTAAATGGCTATCTATTATAAAAACTTTCTTTTAAACCTTTTGAATTGATATTGCTAAAGAATTCTATCAAGACTACAGTAAATTCTAACTTGAAGTTAACTTACTGTAACCTAAGGTTACAGTAAGTAAAAAAACTGAATATTTGATAATTTCTCGAAATGCTTTCACAGGTTTTATATGTTCATTTGTGCTGACCCACTAATCTCATGGTAATTCCACTATCAATTCCATCATTTTATTCATTTTTCGGGGACTTTCAAAGGCTTTTCTCTCTTTTAACCTTATGCGGTGACAATCAAAAACGATTAAACCTTTGAGCTTTGAAATTCACAGACAGTCGTGCGTAGTTTTGCTTGTGATAAAATAAAGGGAAATTTTTTTTGATGCGTTTTGCGATTAAAGCACATTTTGGTACACTGAAAAAATAGCTCTCAATGATCGAAAAATCGAAAATTTCAATGCACAACACAAACTAAATTGAACAAAACCATTTTTTTTGCAAAACAAAACCATTTTTTGCTTTCAATTTTCAGTAGAAAATGTTTTATTTTGAAGAAATCGATTGTTGAAATCTACAGGGTCCGAGAAAAGTATTGTCGTTTTTTCAACCATCATATCTTTTTTCAAAATTGAGCTTTTAACATATTTATTGAAAAAAATAACCGATAAATAACCAAAAATTAAAATTTATAACAAGTGTTCAAAATTGGACCCCTTGGCTTTGATGCAGGCTTTTAGATGCGCGATCACTGAGCCGACGGTGGCACGAAGGTAGTTGGCATCAATATCGTTCCAGGCAGCGATCAATTCCCTTTCGAGCTCACCAAGACTTGTGATTTTCTTATGCCTCAAACGTTCCTCAAACGTTCCTCTAACGTTCCTCTAACGTTCCATACTGAAAAATTCAAAAGGTTGAGGTCCGGCGAGTTGCTGGGCCAGTCTTCTTTTGTGAAGCTTATTTCGAAAATTCAAATCATTCCAAAATTCTAGAATCATTTAAGTGACTGAAATTTTTCATTTTAACATATCTTTATAATATTCGAAACCTCATTAAGACTTAAGACTTAAGACTTAAGATCCTTTTGCTATTGATGGGCTAAAAGAAAATCGTTGATGACCTTTCCCCCCCAAAAAGGAGTCCATTGATTGTTTGTTTTTGTTTGCATTAAGCGTCGCATCAATCCCCTCACAAAAGCTCTTCATCCATCCCATCTATTGCCTCAAAAAAAAAGCTGATTTGCAAACAAACATTAGGCGGATAAGGGGAGGAATTGGGCGCAGATTGGGTGAAAATGGTGCCAAGTGATGAGCACCAAACAAACCGATTTACGCAGTGAGTTTAGAGCAAGAACTAACAAGAAAGTCGAGCTAAAAATGGGAAAAGCATAGCTACCTGTCATGGACACTGATCTCAAGTATGTAAAGAATTCAAAGAATTCAAAAACAATCGTTAATTCAGTGTTTCGAGGCACCATTGGGATAAAACTGTTGGTCCAAAGGGTAAAACCGATGGTCTAAAGGGTAAAACTCTGTTCCAATGGGTAAAACTAATGGTCCAAATCGTAAAACTGTTGGTCTAAACGGTAAAACCATTGGTCCAAATGGTAAAACTCTGGTCCAATGGGTAAAACTGTTGGTCTAAAGGGTAAAACCGATGGTCCAAATGGTAAAACTCTAGTCCAAATGGTAAAACTAATGGTCCAAATGGCAAAACTGTTGGTCAAAAGCTCAAAACTTGTAGTTTTTATTATAGAAAAGCCTAGAAAGCTTGTTTGCTCTTCTTTTCTCAATAGAAACTCTTTTAGAACTCAATAGAAACTCTTTTTCTGCTAGAAGATCGCTTCTAGGATTACAAGTTCGTATTTTTCAGGCCGTAAAGATAAAGTATTTATTTCTCACAAAATAGAAAAATGATACACAACCAAATAAAGAAAAAGTAAAAATAAAGAACTGAGTCAGAGGAGAAAAAAAATACTTTTGAGGAATTCGTGACTATTTTCTTGTTTTTCTAGTTTTTCTAGTTTTTCATTCGATTTTAAAAAAAGTTATCAAATAGTTTTTAATTAGTTAATATTTCAACTGAAATCACACGACACCGATTGGAAATTTGAATGGAATCAATATTTTAGCTTCAATATATCTCAAAGTGAATGGATTTAGTGGTAAAGTTCTTTTGTTTTTTAAAGAAACATCTAAAAAAGCTAAAGCTGAACAGAAAAAGAATTAGGAAAAGTTTAGGAGTTTTTAGAGGACTGCATTTTAGAGGACTGCATTTTAGAGGACTGCATTTTAGAGGACTGCATTTTAGAGGACTGCATTTTAGAGGACTGCATTTTAGAGGACTGCATTTTAGAGGACTGCATTTTAGAGGACTGCATTTTAGAGGACTGCATTTTAGAGGACTGCATTTTAGAGGACTGCATTTTAGAGGACTGCATTCTTTGAGCACTGTGAAAATATAAAAAGAAAACTTGTAAATTTGGGGTTTTATTTATTTTTGAAAGGTGGATGGGCAACCTGTAGAAAAGGCGAGAAGCTGGGCTCGGGAAGGGAAGGGAAAGTCGAGAAATCTGAAATCAAATGATTAAATGTAAATTTGGAATAAAAAGTTTAGTTAGAGTACTGTAGAAAGGAAATAGCCATATCTATGCAGTATTTGGTGATATTGTAGGGATAAGGTATTGCCTTCTATCTCGTATACTGAAGTATTGCCTTGTCTTTTTCTTGTCTTTACCTTGTCTTTGCTTTGTCTTTGTCTTGCCTTTGCCTTGCCTTTGCCTTGTCTTTGCTTTGTCTTTGTCTTGCCTTTGCCTTGTCTTTGCCTTGTCTTTGTCTTGTCTTTGTCTTGTCTTTGCCTTGTCTTTGCCTTGTCTTTGCCTTGTCTTTGTCTTGTCTTTGTCTTGTCTTTGCCTTGTCTTTGTCTTGTCTTTGCCTTGTCTTTGCCTTGTCTTTGCCTTGTCTTTGTCTTGTCTTTGTCTTGTCTTTGCCTTGTCTTTGTCTTGTCTTTACCTTGTCTTTTTCTTGTCTTTGCTTTGTCTTTGTCTTGTCTTTCCTTTGTCTTGCCTTTGCTTTGTCTTTGCCTTGTCTTTGCCTTGTCTTATATACTTTGTCTTATTTTCTGAAGTTTTCAGAAAAGCTGTAAGACAAAACATGATGCTGCAGCTGAAGCTGAAGAACTTAGATCTTACCAGTACTTTTCATTACTGCATTCGTGAATTGCCGGCACTTTCCTACTCATTTTACCCATATAGTTGATGCTTTTTTTTATCCCAAATCCCTAAAGACTGTTGTTTTATGTGTCTTTTTGTCTTTTTTGTCGTCATTCAGTTATTTGATGGTGACGATGTGTCTCTTCCCTTCAAAAAGACCATTTGATCCACTCAATTGAAAGTCGATACGCCCGATCTCCGATATTCTCTGAGAGGACACCAACAACACCTCACAAATCGCATGGATTCTGTGGGGAATCTGTTGGAAAGAATTGTGACTAAATCTTTTCAGATAAAAAACCGATTCCAGCAGTATTTTTTGGGCTTGAACTCGCGGGAAACCTTTGGAATCCCAGGATGGAATTTTTATTGGTTTATATTGAATTTCAAGCCTTCCAAGGATCAAAGGAGACTGCTAATTTTCAAAGCAACGTTTAAAGCAACTTTTAAAGCAACTTTTAAAGCAACTTTCAAAGCAAAAAGCAACTTTCAAAGCAACTTTTAAAGCAAAAAGCAACTTTCAAAGCAACTTTTAAAGCAAAAAGCAACTTTCAAAGCAACTTTCAAAGCAACTTTCAAAGCAACTTTTAAAGTATCCTTTAAAATCCAAAGCCTTTTCCCTAATCGAATCAATGGGCTTATTGCTTCAAAGAGAAAGGAAGACATTCGAGAAATGATTGGTGTTTTCGATTGGAGAAAAGACGGAGAGGCGATGTTTATGGCGGAAGTGGCACCCGGCTTTATAAGGGGCTCAATGAGAGGCGACAAGATCGAAGAAATGAAGAGAAATGAAGCAAAGATGGGGGTACTTTGCATTACCGTCCTTCTTCTCCCTCTCATTCCAATTCTCCCCAAGCATAGATTCTCTCAGAAATGAAGGGATCAAGCCTCGAATACCCCATGAGAAAGAGGAATTAGACATCAAAATTAGAACGGAAATTGCTCGGGGACAACTTGAGAACCAGATGGTGTGACACGTTCACAATTTGGCCTATCAATGGTCGAAATTTAGTTGCTCCAGTGATTATGGGACAAATATTTATCGAGAAACTGTTCAGGGATTTCCTAAGCCATGTAAACCAAGCAAGATCCAACCAGATTTTGTCTCCAGGAAAGCTAAGCCCAGAAAATTGTCTTTAGAATAAAAAAACTTCATACAAATTCCCTAATTGTTTGATTTTGGTTCCCTATCTCATTTTACAACACATAAAAAATGATTACTTTTTTTCAAAGAGCTTGCCTTATCAATTTTACGATACAAAATTTTCTCTCATCAAATTGTCAAATACGATACAAAATTCTCTGTCATCAAATCTCCAAAAAGTATCCCCAAAATCGCTTTAACCATATGGTTTGGGTAATTTGTTTAGAAGAGAAGAACAAGACAAGAATCGATGTGTCCTTTTATGAGAATCGCGTGTTCAGCACCGGTAATTCTTGTCTCTTTGAAAGACTCTCAAACAAATCGGTGACAGATGGACGCCTTTTGTGGAGAAGACTCCTATTCTTCTCTCAAGGGTCAAACTTTCAAGTGCTGAAAAGTTTAGAGTTTAAAACTTAAAAAAATCATATTTCAAATAGCGAACTTGTCCCTCGACTAGCCGGAGACTAGTAATTTCCCCGGTTGCGCAACTCTTTCCCGATTTCTTTCTGCAAGATCGGTATCAATTACTTCTTAAAACATCTGTCATTTTACCTCATGCTTCATTTGATTTTTATTTGTCATTCAAAATTCTTTAAAACTCACGATTTTTATCTGAAAGAGTGAGGAATTAGATGAGTAGCAAGAACACTGAGGCTGCCCACGCCAAAACAGAGTAGAGACGATCTGAAATTAGAGAAGAAATTAGAGAAATGAGGCTGCATCAAGTGAGAGCTTGTCTCTATTCTTTATTCTTTAGTAATTCTTTAGTTAAATGTTTCTTTTCTTTAGTGCTTTCACAGCTACAGTACTGGACAATGAAATATGATATTTGAAAAACGATCGTCACTTTCGCGCGTCTGTAACTCCCTTATCTTTCAGTTTAAACTATTAGTATTATACATTTTCTGAAAGCTCTTTTCAAGGGCTACACAATGGTAATATTAATATTTAGAAATACGGTAAAGACAAGGGAGTTATAGACGCGCGAAAGTGACAATATTTTTTCAAATATGATATTTCATTGTCCAGTAGTGTATCATAGCAGGTCCCTAGCTTTTGAAAAGGCATTGCAATCAAATTGTCGATCATCACGGAGTGACTGAAAAACACCTGGACTAGGATCAAAACCCGGGTGTTTATGAGTAAGCGCTTTTTTTGAGCTCTGAACTGCAAGGGGGAAGAATGAGAAAAAAAAGAAAATCGTGTGGATTACCGCTCATTACCCCGGATTACGGCCCAACCCGAGCAGACGGACGGACGGCTGCCCCATCCACCTACACCTGGCTTCAAAAGTGGCACTGACTGTGCGTGATCTACCTAACTACCTAGCTATCTATGTGAATAGAAATTGTATTTACTTTACTTGTTATTATGACAAGACTGTTATGATGGACTCAATCTAAGATATAAACTTTGTCAGAAGTAGTTGGGAATGCTTTTGGTTGTTCTGGTTCATTCTCCAGAACACTTTATCGATCCAAATTTGTGCCTCAAGGCTTTCTGGATCGTAGAACCTATTGGCGGAGTTGATTCCTAAACCTTTGTCCCAAGAAAAGTCGCAAGAGAATCGAATTGGCTTTGGGTTTTGTATGATAGCTTTTCACAATGGAAAGATCTGGATTTTTGAGGATCTGGATAAGAATCAGATCTCTTTGATAAGTCCTTCCTTTCAGTAAGTCCTTGCTTTCAGTAAGTCCTTCCTTTCTTTTTAAGTCCTTCACAAGATTGAAGACTGATCCCCCACTTGATTCCACACTTCTCAAAAAAGCGGTGTCTGACCTTTTGCCACAGATTACAGGTAGGCGATCATAATTGCGCATTCACACCATCGCCCCTTTCATTTGACGGTTCTTTAGCCATCCATACGTTAAATAGTTTGAAAAGAGGTAAAGGAACCGCCTCAGAAAAGAGAGAAGATCGTCTCTTGTTACATTCAGGGTCATGACCAACCATATAACTATTAACCCATTGATTTGAATAGGCATGAGTTTTTTTTTGTGTGGTATTGATTTGTGGTATTGATTTCAGAGTTCAGAATTGCTTAGAGTTCAATTCACTTGGATCTTTGGGTACTAATATAGATAAATTCGTTGAGAAGCAATTTTAAGTTAAATTTTAAAGTTATTTTGTCAACCTTAAGAGTCATTATGTCAATGATAGTACATAAACTTACAGTGAAAAGCCATTTTCAATATTTAAGTGACTTTTTGCAATGCTTTAGAGTGGTTAGAAAGGGCTTTTAAAGCTTTATCACTTATATACTTGAACCCTAAAAATAAGCTCAAAAACAAACCGACATTCATAGTTATTTTCAGGAATTGTCACTGAGTCAAGGAGCAATTTCCCCCAAAGGGACAAGGAACATTTTCTTCTCCCCCAGAAAAAGAACAGCGGGAAATCGTCGGCTATCCTTCCAAAAATGTATAGGCTTTTCCGTTCTTTCTTTTCTTTCTTTCTTTCTTCCTTCCCTCCTTTCTTTCTTTCTCCCTTCCTTTCTTTCTTCCTTTCTTCCTTCCATTCGGGGCTCAATGACTCGTCGCTTGGCGGTAATTATTCGGAGCTCAAAGGGGAAACGGTTACATCAATGGCTTTTCAAGGAGGCGTTCGATATGGGGAAAAGCGGGACTTTTTAGTGGACGATGGACGATAGATCGAATTCTCGATGAGGAGAGGCTAATTAAAGAGTCACAATGGGTATTCCATACATAGCTTTCCCCCTAGTGCCAACTCAAGCATGAAATCATCCTCCAAATACCCAAGATCGATTCTATTAAAGGTTTAAGTGCAAAAGAAAACTTAATTACTGTAGAAAAAAAGGAATTTCTTTCAACGAAGCCATCTTAATTACTGATTTAAAACGGTAAATATTTTTTTGATTAGGTTAAACTATATGTTAATTTGCGAAAATTCTTTAGAACAAACGTTATCTTTCTAAAGAAAAACGTTGTCATTGTGGTTGTGGCCTCGTTTCCCCTCACTAATGGAATTTGCGAGGAGGATGGCTTCGTTGAAAGAAATTTAGAAATTTAGAAATTCCTTTTTTTCTTCAAGAATGAATAGAATGACTCTTAGAAGATATAGAAATATAGAAATGAATATAGAAATGAATTCTATTTGTAAATCAATGAAAATCTATGAAAATTGCC